TGTGAATTGTATAATTTTGCTGGTAGTGTTGTATGCTGCTGTGTATGTAGACAGGGGTTCAAAGTACCAGCATGTAGAAACACATGCAGAGATTTTCTCATTAGTAAGCCTTACATAACCAGATATTAGCTCATTTGTTTCCTCCTTTCTTTATTTTTACTTTTTTTTCTTTCAGAAAAATAACAATAGAAACAAAAAATATATTTGAAATATGCTATGCATAACTTATAGTTATAACATATGTACTAAGGAGACTGTAAGATAGTTAAAAGGATAAATGTCAGTTTATTAGAACTCCCAGACAAATTGTTCACAATTCCAGTTAATAGTATTAAAACCTCTCTAATATGTTAATGGTTTACAATAATTCCCTTTTATTTCTAGGCATGTTTTTCATAAAACCTGTGTAGATCCATGGCTGAGTGAGCACTGTACCTGTCCTATGTGTAAACTGAACATTTTGAAGGCCTTGGGAATTGTGGTGAGTTGGAGCTTACATAAACAGTTAATACTATTGAAGTATATATTCTAAAATACTTCAGATCACAAATTCACTTAACAAGAGACAGAAATTCCAAGGTGTGTTAGTTGCTTGCATGAAACAGTGATGCTATCCCAACAGTATATTTGGGAGTAATAACTTGAAAAACCTCTGATTATTCAGGGTTGTTTTCATTAGTTATAGCTTGATATTTTCTGCCATGTTCCTTAGTCATGAAAAAGCCAAAGTATAACTTGATTATCTTGATGTAAAGTAAGCCTTAAGTAATTGCTGTCTTCTATAACATATCTATTTCACAAAGCAAATTTGTCCTATTAAAACATCTTTAAGTTAGAATAATCCATTAATGAAATAGATTTTAATCTAGTTTCCTTACTTTTAAGAATTATTTATTATCTCTGGGTTCATCAGTGGTAGAAAACAAGGCACCTATTATTAATGAACCCATAAAAATATTTGTTATTTTAGACTGAGGTTAGTATATTCTACTTTTGCTCTTTCCTGTTGTGAAAAGTCACAAATGAACTAAATGGGGCAAATTAATGTAAGAGAAATACTTTTGTTGTGTTTAACTAGTCCCAGATCACACATGAGCATCCTAAAATTACTATGTAAACCCCCATTTTATAGCTCCTGGAGCGCTTCCAGTTCATGTAGCAGAAACTGGAAGCAACCTACCAATTTTTGGCCACACAGTTTTTACTTCTTAAAAAAAAGAAATCCAGAAAGTGCAAAATTTTTAAACCTCCCAGACTGAAAAAAAATAGGCTGAAAATTCTTTCTTTTGTAACATTACTACATCACCCAATTAAAACATGTCTCCACTTGGAAAATACCCATCTGTATTTTGGAAGTGGGGGGAAGAGATGATGAATAAAGTTGAAGAGAATATGCTACAGCCTACTTCATTGGTTATTTTGTTTGTATACTGCTGGATTTGTGACCCATAAAAAAGTTGGATTGATTAATTGATTGACTATATAATGGAAAAACATGCACACACCTGGGAATAAAACACTGGGGAATGCTCAATTTGACAACATTCAAAGAAGGTTATATGGGTCCTACATTAAAATTTGCTGCCTGTTAAGCCGATTCTTTTGATTAAAATGTTTTGAACCAAGTTCTTAATGGATGGGATTTGCTTGGAATAATTGATCTCTGTTTGGTGTTGATCTTTATGTTTTAAATTTCATGATACTATCTCGTGAATTGTATAATTTTGCTGGTAGTGTACAAGAATGGTATACATTAATATGACAATACTTACTTTCAGACAAATGTACCGTGTGCTGACAATATGGCCTTTGACATGGAAAGACTAACCAGAGGCCAGCTAGGTAACAGGAGATCAGTACTTGGTGACCTTAGTAGTGACAGCTCACTCACTCTTGAGCCCTTACGTACTTCTGGAATATCACAATTTCCCCAGGATGGAGAGCTGACTCCAAGGACAGGCGAGATCAACATTGCTGTAACTAGTAAGTAAAGTTTGCCTTTAATATGTGAATCATTGGTCTTCTGTTGCTTTAGACCTGTTTCCCTTTAACATAACACACATAATTTTATGGAATGTACAGAATTAAGGAAAATGTGAAATTTTATTTTGGTCAAAGTTATATCTGAATAAGACCAGCCTCAAAATATTGAACTTAAAACCACTTCTGACAAAATATAATAGCCAACATTCGTTGCATACCATTAAGGAAGATACGGCCATTGTTTAAATCAAGAGAAAGCAATGTGTGGCTCTTCAAATGTTAGTGGACTGCATCATGCATCAGCCCTACTTGCTCGGCTTAATGGAAATTGAAGTTCAGCTTTATCCAGCATGTCATGCTTTGCTGCCTTGGACTTTGAAAGACTAAACGATTTGGGAAGATAGCCGTGATATAAATGGTGGTGCTTGCCAGGCTTTCTGCACCATAGCTTTTAATGTTTTATAGTTAAAAATTGGAGATTAGTATACTGCAAAACAAGGTTCCAGACCCATATTTACTTCTGGATCTAGGGTCCACATGGGCCCCAGAGGTACTTTGATGATATAAAGCTTTTTTTTGAAGAATACTGAACAACATAGCAAAAAAAAAAAGCAAGATAAACTGAGGGAAGTGATCTTGGGGAATAAACAAAGCAATCAGAGGTAAGGCAATATTGTTCATTATTTACTTTTACCTCAACTTTTTCTACTGACAAATGCTCAAATTAGTTACCACAATTTTAAAACAAAAAACAGAATGTAAACATTTAAGAAAATAAGTTAAAAGTAGCTTTAAAAGTATAATGAAATCAATCAATTAAAAGTCTGGCAGAAGAGGTGCATATTTACAGAGTTCCTAGATGCTGAGAAAGTGGAGGCCAGATACACTTCCCAATGGAATGTAGGTTAAGAGCAATGCAAAACAAAAAACAAAAAAACGATCCCATGCGCTAGGAATTCAAGCCTCTGACTGTGGGGCTTCTTCAGAAGGACCTGGCCTGTTGATGTTAATGACCAGTAGGTTGTTAATGGGAAAAGGGGTCCCTTAAGGCATTTAAAAGTCAATACCAACACCTTAAAAGTGTTCCAACTTGCCCAGGAAGCAAGTGACTTTTCAGTATAAGGATCATGTGATTTCTGTATCTTGTACCAATTAGCAACCTAGTTACTATATTTTGTACTAATTGCAACCTCAAGACCACTTTCAAGGGTAGCCCCATATAGAGTGGATTGCACTAGTCAAGATGAGATGAAGCCAAAATATGGATATCTGTCACAGATAGAAAGGGATGCTACTGGCACAACAGGCATAATTGTGGGAAAGCTCTCCTCACTATGGTTGCTCCCTGTGAATTGAGGGACAGCTGAGGATCAAGGGGTACTCACACAGCAGGGGTATCCATGTCATGATCCTGTTATTGATAGAAATAATGCTATGATCTGAATTTGATCTTTGTCAGCAGTAATATTTCATCAGTTAACAGTAAGTTGTTTTAGACTCAATTCCACATTCCCAATACTCTCTGTTGCTGTTCAGACTCATCCAATAAATACTCCAATACCTTTCAACATTGGTTCAGTTTCAAAAAGAACTTAATTGAAAAGATTTCATGACTCATCTTGACACAGCAATGATAGATCTAAGATCTGGCCCAGAAAAGTATTAAACTTTGGCAATTATATCAAGAAACTGTGGCACCATTATACCCATGATCTTACATTTCACTCACCTACAACAGATGATAACTATTTCCAAATATACAACACCAGAAGATACCATCCCTACAGGAGAAGAGCTTACAGCCATGCTAATTAAAAATGATTTAGGATATGACAGGAATTGAGAACACAGACATAACCCACAACAAGAAGAAAGTTTGGAGTACAGTTAGAAAGATGAACAAAGACCCAAAGAAGATGGAACATCATCATAGCGTAACAGCCAATGAACTGGCACACCAATTACCCCTAAATGGCAAGTTTCCAAACAGAATACAGAAAAAGAAATGGGAGGAATATGAAGCAAATGAGTATTTTAAAGACCTTTTTACAGTGGAAGAAGTAGCATATAAAATTTGGTAAAGTTTCTGGCCTTCGTGATCTGCAAACTGGCCAAATCAAACCTTGGATTGGGCATCATAAAATGGTTCCTGGAATGGCTCTGCAGTGTCTAAAACAAATATTCAAGACGTGGAGACATGTAGCATTGTTGAAACTAGGCAAAGATCCTACAGGTCCAAAGAGCTTTTAGCCGATTTCCATCCTATGCCAAATCACACATACAGTTTGGATTTCTTGGCAGCATGTCACCCTGTTAATCATCATATGTTACTGTGCAAGATTTACAGTTTGACACAAGACTTTGAACTAATACAAAATATTCAGAAATGCAATCAAAATTGCCACTTTGGTATACAGTTTGGAGGCAAATACAACCAATAGTATATTTAATGGAATGGCTTATCAGAAGAAAGTGTGCTGGTACCACTCCTCTTTAACATTTATGTGAATGATCAACTAATCCATTCAAAGAGAAGAAGCTTCATCTTTGATTATTGTCTAGCTATAACAGTGTAACAAGGGGTTTATTTAGATTAAAGACAGTGATATAAGCATTAGAAAAACTGTCGGTTATGCTGGCAGTCAAATTAAATAAAATACAACTAAGACTTAGGTCAGCCTCTTCCATTTGCACAGTCAAAACACAGATCAGATATTAAATCTTAACTGGAGTGAGATATGACTGAATCGCTATATAAACCTAGTATACATCAGAGTGATCCCAGATCAAAAGTAAATTGAGAAACAAGGTCAGTTTCTTGACCTCCATTATCCCAAAAACTCGCAATGGGGCACACCCAGCAACCATTAGAAACTCTGTCTTAGCTTTGTTAGTCCAGTGCTGATCATACACTGACAATCCACTCATTCAGCAAAAATTGACTGGTTATTAAACAACATCTGCTAAATTATCACAAATTGCTTGAAGCCCATTAAATCCAATGCATTTCATATTCTTGCTGGAATAAGTCCAGCAGATGTTAGAATGGAGAAAACGGCAATTGCTAGATTCTAGACTTTCTCTATAGCCTCATTGTGGATCTGTGACATTTGAAATAATGCAGAAAGTTTTTTTATGGTATTGAAAGAATCAAATAGTAAACTGACTTTATGTAGAAAGGAACTGTGCCAGAAATTTTATCAGAGATGATGACATGGAAATGAATGTGAAAGAACAGCTTTCTGATGGGCCAGCAAAGGAATGAGTCATTTGAAAGGCACTAATCGCCTACATACTCAATAGATCGAGTGGGGGTACTATACGAAACCAGAGACCAGTGATTGTGGCAAGAGGCATATTGTGCAACGTCTACTTTGGTTTTTGTTAGGGGAAAACTGTTGCATACTTTAGGACCATAGTGTGGCCAGCTCACAAGTCCTGAAATAATCACATCCAGTGGAAAGTATGACTTGGGAAATAAGACTTGAGAATAAGGTGGGGAACACATCACTCGTACAAGGAGGCATTTATCATATTCCTTAAGTATGAGGTTAGTCACATCTTGGACTATTTAAATATCTGAAAGGGGCAAGGATTGAATATTCTATGTGACCTGTTGACATTCTTGAGATCTATAAGCAAAAAACAAACAACAAAACTGACAAAATATTGTCTATATGCTCTGAGTGTACTTCCTTTGAGTTTGCATGTATTTGACGCGGGTTGATATTTTCAAAGCATTATTAGTTTGCCCTTTGCAAAAAAAGATACTGTGCTTTGTGGGGTGATTTGATGCTCAGGGCCCATTTATACCTTGTACACAATTTCTTGTCTAAGTTACTTTTTTTCTGACCCTCAACAGTTTAATAAATTAATAGTAGTAGAAGTAGTAGTATTTTGCCTTCTGAAAAATGGATGTTTTTTCCTAAGCCTTTTATGACAGCCATTTAGTAAGAGCACCCACTCTGCTCTTTGAAAGTTCCAAAATACTTTATGAGCCTTATGAGTTCAGCAGTAACACATGTTTCCTCTTTCAATTTACCAGTTAATACTGCAGTTTTCAAGGAAAGTGTAGTATCCATTAAAGATCCTTGTAGTCTTTGCTAGGCAATTTTATAAGCTTTGGCATATTTTACACAGGTGTACAGATCAGCCCTGATTTGAGTTTTCAATTCAGTCTGATTTTAAAAGTCACATCAATTTGGAGATCTAGTCAAATTTTGTTCAAATCGAATCTTTACACAGCTCTAGTATTTTACTAATTGAATGTATTTCATTTTTTGAAACTGAATTTTTATTCTGATAATGGAAAATGAAAAAAAAAATGGGTAGTTTGGAAGACTGCCAAGCAGTTTGAGAATGGAAATGTTGCTTCCACTAATGTTTCCATATTTTTTGCTAACAGGTTACAAAAGTCTTTGTCATAAAGGATTTCTGTAAAAATTAGGTCTGTAGTGCTGAAAAGCTTTACTTATGGCTTTATGATTTTGGTCTTATTCTTCATTTCATGTTTGCAAAGGATATCATCTAGCTTGAAAGTAGAGGTTTATTCTTCCTACAGCCTCAATTCTATAATTGTAGAGAAGGATAGCTCTGTTAAGTTCAGAATGGGCAGTCAGGTTATGTCCACCATATTACCAATGTCTTGCATATATTATGCTTGGAAAATTACTTGCCAGCCTCTGGTTTTTTAAAAAAAAAAGGACGTAGAAATGAAATAGATTTGCATTTTTAATTGTAGGTTAAATCTCAGTGGTCAAAAGCAGATCACTAAAACACACCTTTAAAAGCAAGCACAGTAACTTGTTTCAGTCTTGTTTCCTATCCTGGTCATGCAGACATAGAGATGATGATAATTAAAAACACGAAACATTTTCGATATTGCTATCTGAAAGCTTTCAGGTTTTGTTTTTAAAATATGTCAGACATTTTTATGTACCAGCCAGTTAAAAATGATATACAAATAGTACTTTGTAAAGTTGCCTTACGTTAGACTAAAATTATAATTTATTTTGTGCATTATTATTGGTTTTTCATGAATTTCTGCCTTTAAAAGGGCTAGGTAAAGTAGATAAAGAACAGTTAAAAGTTCCATGCCGTGTGTACACTCCTAAATATTGTACGGTGCTTACTTGGAGATGATCAATTTTGTCATTCTTTAATTGCAGATAAAACTTTTGCTTCTACTTTCCTTATTTTGCATTTGCATTAGCAAGTCATTTATACCTAATTGTTGGGCTCTGCTAATCAGTCTACAAGTATATTTCCTACTTTTTTCACTTCTCCCCATAACTTTTTGGCTGCCCTTCTCCACCTAGTATCTTCCATTGCTAAACTTCTGCTTTCCTCTGGAGCTTCACTTACTGGTGCCTCATGACTAGAATGTTTGTCTTCTGCTTCTGATCTTTGAGGCTGTATTTTCATCGACATAAGCCTTCTTCCACGAGTGATTTCCTCCCTTTCCTTTGTCAACAGAAGAATGGTTTATTATTGCCAGCTTTGGCCTCCTAAGTGCCCTGACACTCTGCTACATGATCATCAAAGCCACTGCAAGCTTAAATGCTAACGAGTAAGTAATTGTACAGATTGTTGCATTTGTGTGCATGACAGATTTTCAAAGAAGCATCAAGTAGAAGATTTAGATAAATTTGCGTATAATGCAAAATAGTATTTTCCTACCATTTCAGTTATGTATTCAGTGCTTTGAACATCTGCAGATAGACTTTTCAAGAGTAGATGCTAACTATAGTGAAATTATCTTTGTCTTTTGGCACACTTAGTTGTTTACCCTGATCTCTTTTGGGATATATATGTGGGTATATCTAGAGAAACACCCCTCTCTTCTAGTTCAGCTTGTGAATTATCATGCTTACCATCAAGGATGAGTGGAAAATACAGCAGGTCTGGGAAAGAGAAAACATAAAAGTGCCTGTTTGGATCCATGGAAAGATAACTGAGTTTTATGTATCATTATGACAGGAAAAGAGATAATGTATCAGAAAACCTATAGAAAGTATAAAGAAGCAGCAAGGGCAACATTTTATTCAGCATTTCTATTCCAGTTGGACATATACCAGAAGGTGTATGTGAGTTTCCCCTGATCCTGTTCTCAGTCTACTTACATAGATCCAGCTTCCAAATGAATGCATATTAATTAACCCAAGGCTTGTTTACACAGCATAGCTATATGTAGGAAGTATACAAACAGGTAATGAGAAATATTTTTCCCAAGTTTTCCCTTACAAATTATCACATTTTAAATAGTGGGAACTTTTTCATTAGGTAGTCTTAGAAGTAGTCCAGTAAAATGTTTGGTAAGAAATCATAATAGATTGTCCAGGCCAGTACATTTTCACTTTAAGTTTCAGCCACTAATTACTAAATTTGGTGGTCATGCAATATAACAATTTTAGCAGGTACTACAGTACATATTACATCTCTTCTGCAAATTTCCAAGCCAGGTTCACTGGTTTCCTATTGTCATGTAAAAACCAACAGTATGGGGCCAGGTAATCTTGCAAATTACCTCTATCATTATAGGCCGGATGATCACTAAATCCTCAGAAGAGGTACTTCTGTGTGCTCTGCAACTTAAAGTTACTCACAACAGGCTTTTCTGTGGTAGCACCTTTTCTCTAGAATAGCTCCCTCCCAGTCTCTGTGAGGCTGGCTATCATAGGCTTTACCTCATCATGGATGAATTTCTTTTTTTTACCTCTCCTTTCCATCTACTTTCTAATGCATAAGTTTTTATAAGAACTATTTTTAATTTTGTATCATTGTATTTTTGCTTTGATAATAAACAGCTTCAATATTATTGTATGCAATCAGTATTAAAATATATTAAATTAGAAATAAATAATGCGCCTTCCCATACACCTTTTAGTTTTGCTAGAGGAACAGAATTGTATCTCCCTATCAATTTCCTTCATTAAAACATTTCCACTAACACGAATACATCATTTGATTTTATCCAGTTAGAAGTGTACCAGTTTCATATAATACTTTCTTGTAACTGATAAAAAGCTGTAAAATAATATTTAACTTCACCAGGATTTCTGGTTTCTATAACGTTATATTCAAAATAGGATATAGAGGATTTTTATATCCCCATCCTGAATTTCATAGACATAGGAGATTGTATTTTGATATGATGGCACAACATAGAAATAGGGGGAACCATCTACATTATGTTCATTCTTGCTAAGATGGTTTGATTTACAGAATACATACTTCAGAGGGAAATTACCAATATGTGGGATAAAAAAATAATTAAAATTCATCACTTGTATTATCTTCTGAAGCTGCTTTTTTATATCTAACTCCTAATGTCCATGGGTTTATATTTACAGGATAGAATAGGTTTCTCTTCCTTCCCATTGACTTGAAAGCACTGTTTGTTGCCTCAAAATACTCTGCTCATAGCTTTTTTTGAACATTTGACAGTTTTATTAACAATACAATATTATTACTAATACTCTGTTTTGTTTTGTTTTTTTTACTTTCTTACAGAGCTGAATGGTATTGAAGATACAATCGAGCCAGCTGCTGCAAGGAGAAAGCGCTTATTTTTATGTATCATTTTTTGATAATGTAACAAGAATCTGTTGGCACATTTTGTTTTCTTAATTTACTAATGGTAAAGCTTTGTATTAAGAAAAGGATCAATAAATTTTTTGAAAAAATTAGCTCAAGATTGACTCTTCTTTATTATTTAACCATATTGCAGTGAAAGGTATCTGTTTCCTAATCTGGTAAATCTTTCAGGCTGATCCTATTAAAGTGGACCATGCAAAAACACAACATGGTCCCAGATATTCCATAAAACAGCACTAGCTGGAATCCAGTAAAAAATAGTTGCAAATGAAAAACAGTTCATTGGGAGAGGGATGACTCTAGTAGTTTCTCAGAGCTACTCTTAGCTGAGAAGAGAAGGAAAATCCCCATTTCAACATCTCTAGTATATGTACAATAATGGAAACTGCAATATTACTGGATGAAAAAAAATTCTGGAAGTAAAGCAATACATGTGTATAATATGCCATTTAATATGGAGTACTCACTCTGTGCCAGGCAAGATTGTTCCAATTTGGGTGGGTGGGGGGTCATTGGGCACATTTACAAGTTTAAAATTCTCATACCAAAATGGTTGCCACAGGGGGAATGCTCATGCAGATAATGGTTGCCATAGTGGTTATGGTTAGTCACAAAGATTAATAATTTGCCCAAGGATCTGAATACATAAATGATAGTGTTACTGTCAAAACAAATCCACTTCTCCACCATAGGAAACTTGAGGGGCTGGTGATCTGGTACAAAGGTGACTATGAGTATTATATTCCTAATCTCCAAAATATTTATGTTTACTTGCTACTTGTGTGCATTTTACAGTGCTCTCATTCAGTGATGTTTCGTCTTTGTGCTTTGATATATACCTATTTTCATTGCCCCTTGAATAAGATGCACTGGACTATCATAGACTCAATTTGAGCGAACAAAAGAGTTCAGTCTAAATAATTTAGCTTTTATCACAGATTTTAGTTTAAGTCATTTTAAGGCAACAATGATAGCATTGACAGATTACTAATTGAACTGTTCCTTCTCTAGTGTTTCTATATATTGAATTATTCTCCAAGTGGCTGATCTTCCTAACATTGCAAAGTGTAGTGTGAAATCTAATTTCATAAGAGAACTTGTCCAGTTACTCTCTTTTAAATAATGCTGGAAGTCTATATCCTAGATATTTAATTTCTGAAGTGTATGCAGTTCTAGGCCATTCACTACAGGAACATGTAGTTACTTCTTCAGACAGAATACAGTCAATTCATTAAAAAATGTAGCATCCTCATTAATATACAGTTGTAGAGCACTGATCTCCAGCCAAAATCTAAGATCAGATTTAATACAAGTGAGCATTGAATTAGAGAGACACCAAGGCATGAATTGGAAGATTCACAATCATTTGTGTACTTGTTCAAATATAGCACTATTTCATTTATTAAAACATCCCTGTGCATTTTCCTATAAAAAGCTAATTTTCTTGTAATAGGGTTTAATTATTTTCCAAGAAAGATTGGAAACTAAGACCTCAAGACACTTCTTCAACTTGGGAAAGCAGCCAAAATCTATGTTAAAAAGTTATTTATTATTAGTTGTCAAAAAGGTTCCAGGTGAGAAGGCAGCCTTTATAATTAAAAATGAAGTTTAACTAACATAAATATTTCAAAATGTCCTTGGGAATTGTTGAGAGAAATATCAAAGAAAACACAGGAATTTTGGTTTCGAAAAGTTGAAAAACTCATAGAGGAAATTGAGAATTTTTCTATAAGATTTTTTCTTATAGAAAAAAATGATTATATAGCTTTTCTTAATGTGGCCAGAATTTTCACATGTTTCCTAGATTCTTGCAACAACCATGTTAGGAAGTTTAGACTTAATCATCGTATTAAATGTAATTTCTTTAAGACCACTCAATGATTTTGTAGAGAAAGCATTATATAGCAATGGAGAGAGAACCTCCAAGATATGAACTAAATTCCTCTGAGCATGTTATAATAGGCTTTTAAATACATACCTAGTTGTTTGAAGAGTGTTTTAAGTTGCAAGTTATATTATGGCTTTTAGCAGTATTTGTGAATGCAACCAATGTGATTGTTTCATGCCATGCATCTGTGGTACTGCCTTATTAATTGATACCAATCATCTCCATTAAGGCTTTTAATGTTTAAGTGATACAGAACATACCTGCTTCAAAATTTTGATGGCTGTGATTAAGAAAGCATTTCCTAAGTTTGATCTTAAACTGCTAAGAGCTCTATAGGAGCTGTGACAGTTAGTAGAGAGGGGAAAGTGCCACATTTCATACTATCATTTCTTACGGTTAACACTTTCGAAACATTAGCTGGTACAGAATTCAGATGCTTATCTCAAAGTTGCACTGGCTAACGCTTTCAAAGAGCCCTGCAATAATAATTTCAAATAGAGATACTTGCGTAATTTAATTCTCAAACTTTGTGGTGCCATGTCCTCCTAAAATAATAATAATAAATTAGTGGGACATCCTTCAGAATATTGATAATACTGATAATTGTAATGTAATGATATCAACAGCTACTGGAAGAATTAAACTTTCTTCAGTTGTATGAGATTTTTATACTGGGCAATTCTGTGTGCAAGCCCTCAAAGCTGCGCTTACAAAACTGTAGCCCTGTCAGAACTTGCTCCTGTTCTTCCTGGTCTAGCTCACTGTCTGCTCTATTTTATAGTTCATCATTTTGGTTTTGACAATACAGGTAGTCCTCATTTAGTGATCACAACTGGGACTGGCAATTCTGTCATTAAGGGAAATGGTCGCTAACTGAGAAATCATGTGACTGTGACTGCTTTCCTTTTCCCCCACTCCTCTGCCCTCTGGAATGCTCACCCCGGCACTGGAATAATTAGCCAGAAGAGAATTAATGTTTGTATTTACATTCATTGGCGAGAAAGGGATTGGAGTGCCAGTAGCCCTTAGTGCATTACACAAACAGCCTGGTGTATTCCCCATTGTGTGCCTGCTTACTCTCTTGTAATCCTTTCCTCTCCAATCTCTCTGTGGGGGGGGGAGAAAAAAGGCCAGGTACAGGAGAATGCGTACTGACTGTAATGGCGATCATGTGACTGAGGGATGATGCAAAGGTTGTAAATGTGGACACTGTGGTCATAAAATTATTTTTTCAGCACCATTGTAACTTTGAACAGTCGCTGAACGAGGCAGTTGGTAAGCGAGGTCTACCTATAGCAGCATCTGTCTAGGACGCCCCCCAGGTTTCTGAAATCTGTCACACTTACCACTGCTCATTCTCACCCACTCTGCCCATTGCCACCCTCTCTCACCTGCCTCATTTCTTCTCTCCTCCACCAGGAGAGAAGCAACCAGGAGTTCTAGACTATCTGTGATCTATGATGCCCTGATCTTGTGCCACTGACACTATAGAATAAAATCCCAAAGTCCTGAACCTTCCCTCAGTTCTTTTCTGTCTCTGCTGCCATAATCACTTTTAAAACCTGAGCCCGGTAGTTTAAGTGGAGGAAAAACAAGAGAAGGTAGGGAAGGGAAGGGAAGGAAAGTGACAGCAGGGCCTGGGGCCTATAGTGGGGAGAGGATAAAAAAGGGAAGTGAGAGAAGAAAAGGTGGCTGAAGTGAGTAAATACAACAGACAGTAGCAGGCTTGATAGATCTTGAAAATGCAGAGCCTATGATAATCAAAAGGATCAGTCAGTGAATAGAACACGTAGCTGACTGGTTCAGGTAGAGTAAGAACGTGGTATGACAGGGCTCCAGCTTTGCCTATGCAAGCCTCCCCAAAGTGAACCTTTCAAATTTGATCACACCATTTGAAAACCTTGACTTAAAGGGTTTATGAAGTGTCACTGACAAGACCCCTCTCCTCCAAAAATGGCAAACAGGTATATTAAATGCGGATGATGAAAATCAGTTGGTCACGGTTACTACCTTACTATGCTGCAACAAAGTTAGATACCTAATCTCAGGAAATTAGATGTTGGTAGTCAAAGTATCTGGTACAATCAGAGTTTCTAAGGTGCAAAAATAAAACTTTATGGAAGTTGATTGAGAGATCCATAGAAAAAAAGCAAATACTTAGTGTTTTACAATATAACATACGGTATATTTTGGCACTTGGGTCATAGAAAGAATTTGGCTAAGGTTCAAGCTGCATACTGCTTATGTATAAAGCTCCCAGAATTGCTGTGGTCTCATCTTCTTGGGAATAGTAGCCATCTTGTTCATCACACATTTTTAAACTATTAAGAGAAGCTGCAATATCCAATAAATAAGCTAAGAACATTTTAAGGGAACCGGCAAAATGATTAAGCCTCATGAGTGCCTCATGAGATGGCCTTACACTGTGTCATTATTTTAAAGAGAATGTCCTATCTGTAAACAAATTTCTCCCTTACTATGCTGTTTAGTACATTTTACTAATTGAAGTTGCTGAGAGGAAAGCAAGACCCAGATTAGGGTGACAGTTTAAGACATAATAAGCATATTTATAACAGCAAAGTTATAAATGGGTTCATCTAAGATTCAATGAAAACATTTTTTGTACTGCCTTACATAAGTAGACTTATGGTCCATCATAAATACCAGGAAAACTGCCCGTGGCTAGGTTGCAATTTTGCCCATAGTGCTGCCAAGAACAGTGCTTTCTTGGCAGTGAAAAATAATGCTCTGAAATTCAGGTTCAGACTATCCGAGAGTCGATTGCAGCAGAAATTTATTTTCTACAGCTTTGCCTGTAATTGAATAAGAGGCTTTTTAGGGACACAGTTAAGAGAAATACTGGGAGTTTGGGGAAATATTTCAGTGCTACCCAGATGTGCAGGTGAAATGACCTAAAGTCACAGGCCATGGTTTACTTAAGATAAATAGTGTAAAGGAAAGGAGTAAATCAAATAGATAAATAAATGTGTGGCATAGAAACCAAGTTGGAAGAGGCCTTTTAGGCCAAACCCTGGATCAGTGCAGGAACCCAGTTAAAGCATCCCTGATAGATGGCTCCCCAGTGAACAGAACCAGTGACAGTAACAATCTCTAGTTAGACTGTTCAATTGTTCAAATGGAATCTGCCATCCATTATTCTGTGTCTTGTCCTATAGGATGATAGAGAGCAGGCCTT